AGTTCCTATTTTGAAAAGTAATGTATTATTTAAATAAATGAATAAAGATTATATTATTTGAATTAACGATTCTAATGTAAATAAACTTGTAAAAAACAAGATAAAACGATTCAATTACTATAATATCAAAAGATAAAGGGATATTAGGCTTACTTGCTTTCTTTCAGATTCTGTTTTAGGCAACTGAATATAATCTGCTGAGATTTGAGCAATGTAAAAACTCCATCTATTAATCGCTCTACAAGCAGATTGACTTAAATCATTTAAATCGCCTACGACCAACTGAAATGTTGCATAAAAACGTAGAGCCAACAACAGTTGTTCTATCGACGACATCATATAATTTTTCGTTGATGTGGAAACTAAATTATGACTAATTTGTTCTAATATGTTTCTTACACTTTTTGGCAAACGACATAGACGTAAAAAGTCGTAATCATCCAATTGTTTAAAGTCATTTTTGAACGTAGCTCGAGATTTGTAAATATCAATAAATAATCCATAATTAAATAGAATTGGAAATAACAAAAGTAAATCTCACCAAAGTTTTTCAAATTTCGAATATGTATCTAATAAAAGACAAATATGCAGCGATACCTTTTATTACCAAAAGATTGTAATTTCGAATGTCCAGAATTAATACATTAATGTATTATTACATTCAAAGATTAATATATGAATCTAATATGAATGTAATTTTTAAATAACACAATATTGAATTTATTTAAATAAAAAAAATTAAATTTAAAATTAAAACTTAAATGACTTTTATAGTAACGAGCCGTTTTGCAAAATGTTTGCTTGGGACATTTCGAAAAACGTAGCCTAAATTTTTTGATTGGAGGAGAATGTAATTTTTAAGTAAAATGAAAAATATCGATTTTTATCGATATCTCGGGGAACGAATGGAGGGAACTCGATGAAATTTGATACGTAGCTCGAGAAAAAATAGCAAATGACGACGATACTCGTATTTTGTCCGACGAGGCCTATATCTTTAGTTTTTAATAAAAATGTGAATTGGGATAGACAAAGTGTTGTAATCCCAGTATAGTAGTAAGGTTCGCTTTGTTAAGCCGTTCGTTCGTTCATTCATTCGCCCGCTTACTTGACGGCTTGCCTCTACCGAGCCTTATGATCCAACCAAGCCATGAAAGAGACGGCCAGATAGCAGAGTGGTCAAGGTGGCAGCCTACCGCACTGGGGTACCCGGGTTCGAATCCGGACGAGTCGATAAATCCCCAGGAATTTTTCGGGGGTGATCCATCTAGTTATGTCGGGTCCCGTTCCTCACCACCCGGCCGCCCCATGGTGGGCTTGCTAAAATGGAGGCCCTCATAGGGCGGAGAGGGAGAGGGAAAATAGCCATGGAAGACTCTTGTATTTTTCCAAACAGCTGCTGCATTTACTACTTTATGTGAAAAACACATTTCTCAGCATGTCGAAGATAAGAAATTTGTTGTTGTTGGATTATCTGATGATATTGTAACAGATAGCAACTTGACCTTAATCACTTTAGAACGTAAAGATCATTAGGTGTAATTAGTTTCATACATAATTCAGTTTTATGCAACCACAAGAATTCATTTGTTCATAAGAGAAGTTAATAAGTCTAACTTGTATGTAACACAGTGCCCAATAAAAATACTAGAAAACGATCTAAGTTGTAGTAACTAATAGAATATCTACTGAGAAACTTCTACTTATTTCACAAATCATCAGATTTGAATATCAAAAGAAAATTAAAAATATGAAGTCTTACAATATGGAATAACTTACAATCTTACCATACAAATAAAATAAAACAAATGAAAACAAACAAATATAGATAGTGATTAAATAAAAATACAGTACAAAATAAAAAAAATAATCAGATAAATTAAAACAATGTGATATTTTGTATTAATAAGAAATAATATATAATTGTATTTATAAAATACATATTAAAAAAATAAATTTAAAAGCAATGAGTTCGGCTGCAGTAGAGGAGAAGGTGGTATTATGGAACCCGTTTTTTGTGCGAAAAGTACTGGTAACTATTAAACTAGATGTTCCTAATTGGATTTTTCGTTAGTGTAACTATAAGTATAGTTTTTGAAGGCTTCTGTACAAAAAGTCAGAAAGTAGGCTTAGGGAAAACCGGGTGGTAATATGGAACCTTACTGTATATTTTCAAAAAATGCTTTAATGTATCCAAAAACAAATAGGAAAGTACAAAGCAAGTTAAGTAATTACAAAATCATTTACTCCAATGTATTTTATCGAAAAAATGCTTTTATAATAGAAAAATATGACCTCCATCAACAATATATATTCCAGCAGCTCTTTTTCGATATTCTCAGGAAGAATTGGCTTTCTATCTAGTGTCTTTTTCACAAATTGCTCCGGACAAATACTGCTTGCAAAGAGATAGTTCAGAGGAGTTGGGTTCCATATTAAAATCACCAATGGGGTTCATATTTCACACACCGCCATCTTGAATTAACTTATGTCTGTCAAGACCAAACTTTAAAAAACGTGAACGTCACACAGATTAATATGTACCCCTAAGCCTCTGGAACGGAATACATGCACCAGTGAACCTACAACTATACGATTTATATTTTAGAAATAATTAAATTCACTTAGCATTCAAAACTTTCGAATTTCGAAAAACACAAATATGCTGATTCACTACGGATAACCGTTTAACTGAAGTAAAACGGATTTCCCCCTTTCTATGGATGTCTGCCTAGTGCAGTTCAGCCACAATCCGCTACAGTTCACCTTTATTATCAGTTTGAAATGGAGAGGTTCCATAATACCTGCAGGGTTCCATAATACCACCTTTTCCTCTACTAATTTGAAACTGAAATCATAACAAGTTTTCGTGTAGTGATTTATCAAAGTAAGGATTCAGTATTATATTTAACTATAATATTTCTAAGTCTTAAGGGTAAGTATTTATATGCATTAAATTTCAATAAGCTGCATTAAATGTGTTTCATTCATTCATTTATTTTTTTTAAACTTTGAATTGTAAGTTTTGATACTGACAATTGCAGTAAGATACATACAAAATTTTATTTAAATAGTGTTTATACTTGTATAAATGATTATAGTGTACTGTAATCAAAGTAATCACTTTAAACAAAGTGGCGCTTTAAGATTTCGTTTTTGAAGCGCTTAGAGATTATAAAAAATAATAAAAATTTATTATACAGATTCAAATGCATTGCATATACAGACCAGAAACTAAGGTTATATATTTACTTCACCTAAAAAAGCACTTCAACTGAAGTTATCTTAGAGATTTCTATAAAATAATATTCCGCATCAGTTTTGTTTTATATCATCGTTAAATTCTTAAAATTATCTCGCATTATAAACAATTAATGCAGTTAATAAACGTATATTATTTAATAGTGGAGATATAAGTATGTTATATACAATAAAAACTCTATTAACCGAAATAATAATAAAGAGATATAGACGAAATCAATGGATAATAAAATTGGAATTAGAAGTGCTGTAGAATACGTATATTTCTCACAATGGCAATTCCAAATTAACCCACAATGACTATTTTCTTTGATTTTTATTTTATTTTGTTTCTTTTTTTATAGTTTTGTACTCGTTTCATTCTGTGGGCACCTGACCAAATAGCCCATTATGGATTTGGTCAGGCCATTATACGATGACCGGCTGATAAGAGATACGTCAGAATTACACCACTCGAAAGAATTCTTAAGATTTCCAACCTGAACTCAAATCCAGGTCCTTCAGAGAATCAGCTAACGTACTTATCGCCTTGATAATCCGGCCGTGTTTATTCTACGTTACTAAATTGTTTAAGATTCATTCATTTATATGTAATCTATAAATTGGTTGGATTTCCGGTTGAGCAAACAATGATTAGTGAAATTTTTACTATACTAAATAAAGTATGTTAAATATTCTTCTCGCTGTTATATGGTTGCTGTTTATTCGATTTCTATATAGAGCGTCTCTTTAATCCAAAAAATAAGTTTGGTAGACGATCTGTGATTAGAAAGCTGTGAGATCGTCTACCAAACTTGTTTTTTTTTTTTATTAAAGAGACATATAGAAATATAGTAAATATATCATACTAGCATTAAAAATGATTGACGGTAATTTGCATAGTAAATATATTGAAGAATACAAATAAAAGTTTTGTCTTCATAATCCGGTTTTTCACATTCACCATTGACGATTCGAAAATAGGTGAAATTCGCTTTCAAAGACGACTTTTTATGTGAGGCTACGTTGATTTTATTTTATGATATTCGTCTCAACTAAAGGGACTTTTTTCAACAATTTTCATGTTTTTGCAGATACTTGCATATAAATATATATTTTTTCAAAGTAGTGTTATACATTTTATTGGGCTGCATTTCAAAAATTTGCAGACCTATAAGTTCCCACTGTCGAGATTAAAGAAGGACAGACATGTCTGTCCTTCTTTAATCTCGAGAACGGAGTTAGGTAGATGAAAGACGACATGAGGCTCTGATTAACTATATGCAAACTTCTGATGCAAACCGAAAGTCACGTTATTTCAATTTAAAAATGTTTCCCTGAAAGGAGTTAGATAGATGACCGGCACGACTCTATTGTTAACAGGAAAGTATGATGTACAGGGGCAAGACACTACTAATTTGAGTAGAGAACATGTACTGTATTTTAAATTAAATAAATTAAAAATTGCAGCCCGGCATTCAGACGATGTCATGATAAATAATTGCTAGTTTATAAGATAAATTAAAATATAAAATTACGTTGAAACAGTAATGTTTCTTAAAATTATCAAATTATTTGTAAATTATTTAAAAGATAAAATGATATCTGTAGTACTTACAAACAAAATTACTTGATATGTCTGATATCAATATATTTGAAATATTTTGATATTTTTATCTTTAATTTATCGATCGGAAAATTACACGGCACAGCAGGTGATAATGAAACTTAAGCTTACTTATCTTGACAAGAGATACTACTTAAAAGAACAGATGAAATAATTTTAGTGCTGCTAATTTGGAAGCTTTAGGAAAAACAGTTACTTTTTGGGATTCAAAACGCTCACTCCAGTCCAAAATGAAACATTTTATCTTGTTATTTTTCTTTCTGTTTGGTTATGTGTACGGCGTGATAAACTTAAAATATTTTGCAAGTAAGTGATATAGCAGTTAACTATGTTATATAGAATCTATATAGGAGCTAATGTACTGTATATACTCTAACCTATATATGGATAAGAATATAAATTAATAGAAACGTATTAAAACTTTTTTGTGTAATAATCTATACTGTCTTCATATTACGTTTTATCTTTGCTCGTCACACGTTAGTCTTTAAATGGTTTTTATCTCCCAATCTATTAGATAGGATAGTATTTTGAACATATCGCAATTGTTAATGATATTTATACTTTGAGACCTTGTTTCTCTTTTCACAAAACATTACAAATTTCAACAGATTTAGACAAAAATATAAGTTAGTGATACAAGTTTATAATGATATATTTAATTTCTTATATGTAGGAAGAATATAGCATACAGAACGATTTATTTTGTCACAAACATAATAGAACCTCCAAAATTTATCCTTTTATCTAGATAAATATCATTAAAATTAATATAAATCAAAATTGTTTTAATAAGTAGTGAAAAGTTTAGTTTTATTGATATTATTTTTATATTTACACTTTTTGGAGAGATGTGATTCGTTTGATGTGTGACAAGTGGCGCAATCTTGTTGAAACCATGTTCTTGTATTGAAGCCATGAATCAATTGAAGCCGTAAAGGAGTTATTCCCCAATAAGCTGATTTCGCAAAGAGATGATGTTAACTGGCCACCACGCAGTCCAGACTTGAGTCCTCTGGACTATTTCTTATGGAGATTTCTTAAAGAGAGGATTACGAAAATAAGCCGAGGACATTAACTCAATTAAAGCAGAATATCACAGCAGAAATGGCATCAGGTATCTCAAGCTTTGTGTCAACGTGTACTGAGAAATCTACGCTCAAGATTAGAAGAGTGCCAGGAGCGTAACTGACGCCATTTAGATAATATAATTTTTAGTAAATAATTTTCTAATAACCATAGATTGAAAGTAAAAACAAAACTTTCTTTGAACACTTTTTATTTTTAATTTATTTTACTTTTAAACTGCACTCACCCTTTCTAGACACTCTGTATAATTAAAAATTAACAATAAAAAAAGTAACTTATTTGGAATGCATCAAAGTTCTATATTTTATTTTACAGCGATTGGTAAAAAAACTTGCATGAAGCCTTTAGGATGTTTTGAAATTACTTCCGACTTTTATGACCCGTTGAAGCGTTTAATAAATGTTCTTCCTCAGCATCGAACTCTTATAAATACCCAATTTTTTCTTTACACTAATTCTAATCCTAGACATAGTTATACTTTAACCACAGACAATATAAAACATTTAAAATCTCCATTAAAAGTAAATTCTCCAACTCGATTCATCGTACATGGATTACTCGATAATAAACTTTTTGCACGATGGCAACAGGTAAGACCTATTATATTCTTTTTCAATTTTAAAATAATTTTACTAATAGACTAATTATTCAGAATTCTTTTAAAATTTGGCGTATCTACAAAAATGTGAAAGAAACTAAAACAGAAAGAATATTGTACAGTACTGTACATTAAGATTTATCATTATCTTACATCAGCACTATAAGGAATACCTAAGTAATTATACATGTACTGTGCTGATATTATGAAGTAATAAAATACAGTAGAGCCTCGATTATCCGACCTAATTGGGAACTGGGGTTGGTCGGATAATTGAAAGGGCGGATAACTGAAAAGTATTAAAAAATCTATTATTAGTGTAGTATATTATTATATCCCATGTAATTAGTATATTAGTATATCGCTATTAACCTACTTTGCGTTGAATTTTCATCGATGTTAAGCCTAACAAAAATTTTTTTAAATAATAATCATCGCTATTGTATCGTTAAAAATTAGAAAATTAAGCCTCGTTTAAATACTGGCTCCCTTTCATGGTCGAATGAGTGTTGCCAGCTAAAACACGTAAAAATAATATTAAAGTAGCCAAGACATAGCCAAATATTGTAGCGCCACATCAATAGCGGACATTTGAAATTTGCCTTTATTACTTTTGCTTTTCGTCACTGCGCGCGATAAAAGCGAATGAGACGAGATCGTAACAAAACTGAGTTTATTGTCTACTTGCGTAACAGTTACATGTCTCGACGACGCGGCTAACATAGAACAACTAACTGTCAAAGGTCTTACTTGGTGAGTTCGATCTTGTTCCAGGAAGTGATGACTCATATCGTTGACGGGGTTCGTTGCATGTTTTTCACAACAGTTAAGATGTGAAGGGTGACGTTCACCACAGCTTCTATTCTCTGGTTTTCTTTAATACTGTTACTTTTTTACGTTGTTGGGAACCCAAAACTATTGCCCCCAATGCTATTGAGCCTAGAACCGGCTCTGGGCTTTAGACTTATTTTATAGAATCATTAAACTTTAACATTGGGCAAAATAAATATAATTGTTTTTGAACTAAAAGAATAGGAAATGATCGGAAAGTTTTAAATAATATTTTGGAAACCAGATGGCCAAGATAATAAAGGCGTCATCTTATCGATCTAGGGGGGCTCGGGATCGAATTGAGGTGAGTCAAAACCAAAAGAAAATTTTCACGGTGATCTGTCATGGATATGTAGGCTATGTATCTCACTATTCGGCTGCCCAATTGTGGGTCTAGCGGAATCCATTAGGGATATGATTAAAAGACTCTCTTAGAGTCCACAGACCAGAAAAAGTCCAAAAAATATTCTGAATTAATTCTATCTATTTAATTTTATTTTTGACAAATTAACATTTGTTAATGACATTTCATTAAACTATTCTTTTCCATTGTTTATCGAGTTTGTGATTTATACTTTAAGTAAAAAATATATAAAAGTTAAAGTTAATAATAAATTAATAATAATAACAATATCTCTATTTTTATATTGTTTAATTATAATTTTATTTATTTATGAGTTTATTCTTAATATCCTCTTGTTCTTAACAACTGAGATCTCCAGCATTATCTACCTCAAAAATTTGATAACAATTTTACTGTTGTAAAAACAATAAGCAATACGACATACTTAATACGTATCATTGTGGTGTGTAGAAAAGGGATCCAGATCGTTCTAGGCTTTATCTTATACTTAGAAACAGGTGTAAGACCTATTAAGATATCTATTATCGTATATAATCTATTACAAGATATCCCGTATTGATGAGTACAGTATACTGTCAATATACAAGATACGTTACAAATTAAATGCTTTTTACATATATAATTAATCATTGTTCCGAGAAGATTGTTCCTCTGTAATGAATATGACAAATTTCAAAGATATTAATACTACTTTCACAAAATTTTTTTTATTAATGTCAAGTATATAAACAGTATGAACAGTATGAAAGGTGATAGGAGGCATTACTCGTAGGTATATCCTCAAAGGGGATGAAAAGAAGTGAGAAGAAGTTAGACGTAAGTGAAAGGTATTTGGCAGGTGCCGAAAGGGGGTGAAGACAGTAGGAAGAGAAAATAAGAGGAAGAGGGAGGTCGTGAGCCGCATCATGTATTTTATTTTAAAATCACAAAATTACAAGATATAAAAACATAACAAAATAATGTACATTTGAAATGTAAGGCGGCAGCAGTATTTAAATTCCCACTTGGAATAGACACAGCTGCTTAAAAATGCTAACAAACGATTGTACACAAAGAGCAAACAACTCAATTCCCGTGTTGAAAAGAACCAGCTACCTGCTGGTGTTGAGTTCTAGCGCCTTAGTGGCTGAAACAAAAGTAATGAGCTCATTGTAGATGTTTTTATTTTCAATTAAAACACTAGTGTCGCACGGCCAGGCAATGCATTCTTGAAGAACAGCTTGGATCAGTTTGTTCCTCTGTTGTTGAAATTTCTTGCAGTCGTATATCAAGNGTTTAACGAGTATTCATTATCCGAATCCTCGTACTTACGTGGTCAAAAAATTGTGGAACACGAAAAATTACTCGCATTTACGAGGTTTCCCCGGCGGATGGTAACTTCTTGCATCAGGTGATTCAAATACTCATTGATACATATCGCTGTACACAAGATGCATTATTGGGTTGAGTGCCTTTCGGTTCCGGTTCTGGTCGATTTTTCTGTTTTATTTTCTGATTTTCTTATCAAAATTATGTCAACGAAACTTTATCGTAACTGAAGCAAAACCGATGATAAAGTTCCTAAAAGGAAACGTGCTTCAAGAGGTCTAGAATATAATAGCAGTGTATATTATATATTATAATATATAAGCATACAATTGAAGAAATCGAAGACAGTGATGAGGACTTGGATAAAATTTCCAATGAAAACGGGCTGTCCATTGATGGTGTACGTGACACATTTTCGAAGCGTGACGAAATCGTTAATTATTATGTTAACATGTTAATATTTCTCATATTTTTATTTTCTTAGTAGTTAATTTCATGTCTGAAATTATATTTATAATAATTTATATTTATAATTTTTATTTTAATATAGGTAGTAGACGGTTCATTGGCTGCAATCATCAAAGAGCAGTGGATTTTTTCCATTGGTCAATTAATAATAACCATTGTAGACTTGTAGGCTATAAATGCGCTTCTTGGGAACAATTTCTGGAAGGAAAATGCACCGATTGTGCTCCGGATGGTAGTCTATGTTCTACTATGGGTATCAGAGCAGACGAACGTAAAACATTAAACGAAACTAATGTCAAATTTTACCTTAAAACTAGCGGAGATTCTCCATTTTGCTGTAAATTTCATTCATTAGTAAAACTATTTTTAAAATTTATACTTCATTAGTTCAATATATATATTGGTAATTATATTATTAATTAATTTCAGTACAACATTACAAAATTGTATTTAAATTACATAAATCAAAGCAAGCTACAGCAGTAAAAGGATCTGTAGCAATAGAATTACATGGAGACCAAGAGAATGTTCTTACCAAACTAACTGGAGGGTAGAGAAGGCTTTACTTTTATTAAATGTATAAATTATATATTTTAATTTTTATTGTTTACTCAATGAGGTTTAACTTCTTTAGAAGCAGAGAACTCCATCCAGGAAGCACTCATTTTTATCTCGCTACTACGGATAAAAACCTTATAAAAATAAAAAGCGTTCTATTTTCGTGGACAGATTCTTCATCACTTCTTAATCCAATTAATTGGATCCGCACTAAAAAATTATATTTAGAATACATAGAAGTGATTCCAATGAATGTTGTTGATAAAATGTAAGTAATAATTTATTTGATATAACTAATCACTCTGTACATTTACTCATACGTCTTTATTTATCTACAGCGAACAACGTTCACTAACGACAAAATTATGTCCAACCGATCCATTCAAACCGATTTATTCTAAAAAGCCAGCCGTTCTACTCGAAGTAAATTGCAAAAATTAAAAAAAATAGAATTTCACAGTAGGAACTTTGTATTATAAAATTTGTTATAAATGTAACATTTGTTTAAATTCGTAATCGAAATTTAAATAAATTCGTAAATTTCTAATTTGACTAAATAATTTCGGCCTATTTAATTTTTATTATTACTTTCACGGTTCTGTTACGTATAACAGAAGAAAAAAATGGCGATCGGTCAAAAAAATGACCCCCCGAAGATTTTTACAATTTTGGACCCATGGGACTTTGAAACGTCGAGAAATGTAAAAAAGTTCGGATTTTTTCTGTATCTACGGATGTTAGTGTGTGTGTGTGTGCACGCGCGCTGAGTGGAGGGAGCATAATTTTGTTCACCCACTTTAAAGCTTAATTAATAAGTCCTGTGTTTTTTACCGAAAATTTCTGAAATTTTTCAGGGAGGATTGATGTTATTTTGGTAGTTAAAGCTCGAGGGATGGGAGATAGAGATGTTGTCTGTCATTTCTGAAGTAGGGGGTGTACTTAATGAAAAGTTTATTTGTTTTTAGCATTTACAAATTTTTTATAAAATCGTCCCTACTCTCAAAATTAAGCTTTCTGCTATTTTATAATAATTAAAAATATAAAAAGTTTTTAAAATGAAATATCATAACAGACACCACACTCAGTTAAACGTTGCCGGAAAAGTTAAGCAACTCGTTGCTGGAAATTTTTTTTTTTTTTTTTTTAAAATGTTTTAGTAGTATTCCTCGTTATAAATGAATTTATTTTACGCATTTTCCCTACAACGCAAATCTCAAAAAAACAAAATAGACACTGAATTAAATCACTGCATCAGCATGCAACTGATGTTACAAGTATTCAATCTTTAGAAGCAACAGAATCCAAATCATCACAAATAATAATTTTCTTAAATTTTTTAATTTAGAGTAGCATTTCACCAACAGATTTAAATATCATTAAGCTACCGATCACTCTTAAAAGAGTAAGGAAATTGTATAAATTCTTCACTCATATAATTCGATTAAATTAGTACCTAAAAATGTACTACTGTAATTGGAAAAAGATATAAATTCATTTAAGTGATGCGACACTTTGTTGGAGCCATTTAAATGGAAAGGACACTCGCATTTTCTTTCCTCATTTTATATAATTAATCTCTATTTAAAAAACATTATTTCTGAGGATAACGATTTTAAAAAATTTAATTGAAGTATATCATGAATAACTTATCGTCTAAGTAAAAACCTAAATTAATTCTCTCAAATCTTTGTCTTAAAATAGCAAAATATCCTTATGTACGTTTTTATGTTAAAATGTAAAATTTATTTATTTCACAAAATGTACATTATTCAAATTTCTTCATTTTTATCAAAGTTTCGTTTATTAATTAACATTGTTTCCGTAAATAGGCACAGTTTGCTACAAAATATTTTTTCTACTTTTCTGGTAAAAGTCTCTGTTTAAAATTAAAATTGAAGACAGTCTGTCGAAATAGCAGTTATTATTCATTCACTTTTACTGTTTCGAAATTCGAAACTTTTGATGACCGACTATTCCTTTGTAGGCTAAGTATTACTTAGTTGCCAAATTTAAAAATTTTCTTTTAAAAACAAAAAAAAAAAAAAAAAAAATTTTTTTTGGGGG